ATGGCTATATATATATATATATATATATATATATAGATATATCTATATTAGTTTCAGATCTGGCCAATCTGTTCCAATGCCTTCACCTAATATATCATATTAAGAGAGTGCTATTCATGTATGAATGGGTTCTTAGAAAGCTCATCTTTGCCACTCTTGTTAGATTTATTGTGTATAAATTGTGAAAAAAAGTATATGGCCCTCTTTTTATAAGTGATTCACATTTTCTCTTGATTCTTTGGAGAAAACTTTTATTTTACTTATTTTGGTCCTTAGCTGCTACTTACACTGAATGAGATAAAGCTGGGACTGATGTATGTGATTCTTTGAAATTATCTATTTTTGTTTGGTTGGGAGGAAAAGGAGAGAAAGATGAAGTAGAATTTCCTGTGTCTGTATTTTGCAATTATTTTCCACCTAGCTTGTGTTCAAAACAGTTTCCATTAAATGCACAATTTTATTCCACCTAATTATCTATCTATCTATCTATCTATCTATCTATACATCTATCTATATATATATATGTATATATTATATATATGTATGTACGTATGTATAGATAGATAGATAGATAGATAGATTGATTGATTGATAGATATTGTTGAGCTTACTGATCTTTAATTGATGGTGTCCTCCGTTCAACAGGGTGCAGTTGGTTTAGCAATATGGGTGCCTTCAGTGGCTAACCTGTCCAAAGATTGTTATGTGGTGGAGAAAAATAATAATGGGCATGGCTATTCTTCTCTTTCATTTTCTGAGGAGAAAAATGATACTGTTTGGAGTGACAGAGATGATCTAGAACTTTCTGTTCTGGAAACTGAAATGCAGTCTCACGGAATTTATAATGAAGCCCTTCTTGATGAATTGAAGGTTTGGTAGATCCATTTTTTATATTCTTTACTTGTTTGGGTGCATAATTTCTGCATTGCTTCCATTTTCTGATTCATATTTATCAATTCTTTGGTTACTGTCAGGTTTCCCAGGCCATGTCAAAGAAATTTGTTAAAGTTTCGTCTTGTACTGCCTTGAAAGAGGTCATTAAGTTTATGCATGATGAGCAGCAGAATTGTGTACTTGTTGTTGATACAGAAGATTTTCTTGAGGGGATTCTTACGAGAGGTGATATTCAGCGGCTAGGAGTTGAGGCTTCTAGAGAAAATCTTCAGAATCGAAAAGATTCTGCTGTATGCGATGTATGTTCTCTTATGTTTACTCCATTTTTGTAGATTGCATATCTGATTTTCTTTCAAGCCTTTGAGTTCAACATTAATGTTGTTTTTGTTATGATAAAAATATTGCTTAATGACATTGTCTTTAGGTTTTTGCACTCATAATACTCATTTAGCTCTTACGTTCTTTAATATTTTTTTAGATCAACTTTAATCTCTTTAAGTGTAAGTTAGATGCGTGTCAGCAGTACAAACTGTCCCCTTGATTTTAGGAAAATTCTCCTTATATTATAAGCGCTTGTTTTTCTTACTTCGATATTTTACTTTCTAGTTTTATTTCTTCTATGTTATTTGATAGTAACTAATTTAGTTTTCTTGAAATTTATCAGAAAGTGTCACATCAATAATTTTAGTTGTGGAAATTAATTCATTTTGTTCCCTGATTTTATATGATTCCAATTTCTTACTGAAATTCATGGATTATTTTGATAATTTCATTATTATTTACTTTAACCTCCAATACTGCTTATTTACATTTAAATAAAAAAAGTTGACATAATTGATGAATCGTGATCTTTGAATGCTTGATTTGTTTTTATTTATGAAATCATACTGCTTATGATTTTAATTTTATTAAAAAATCTTAATCCTAAATCATCGCATATAACATTCAAAGCATAAAGAATGCATTTTACTTACAAATCTTATACCCTTAATGCAAACTTGGATTATGTCTGGTCCTGTGGCAGTTTACAAATTTGCTGACGCTGAAAGTGATTGTAGGAATGTCGGGCAAAACAGTGATAGCAAGGGATGTGAAAACCTCAAGAAACTGTTAGTAAACGAAATAACTAGAAAACAAATCGGAGCCTTAATTTTCTATGCTTCTTATAAAGTACTTCATGAATCATCACAAACAAAACTACCATGCCAATGCACTAACCTTCATGGGAATCCACCATTATCTGTGGACAGAACCTCAACATTTATAATAGTCTTTTGGAATAAATTATTTGGGAGTGTTTAGTGGTGGATTGAATGTCAAATCAAGAGAGATGGTAAAAAAAATGAAATCCAAAGTAATTGATAATGGGCTCATGAAATAAGGTCAAATCTTACACGTTAAAAATTAGATTGATTCTGGAATTTCTAATTTGTAGGTATTACTTGCAATTTGTTGTAAAATTTTGAATGGCCATATTTTGATGCATTTTTTTTTTAAATTTTGTTGCTAAATTTCAAAGTATCATATCTTTCTTGCATTCAATTTTTTTAAATGTTCTTAATGGAAGCTTTTTATTTTAATTTTGATGCATCATAACTTTTTCACTAGGTTTAACTTTCATATACTTTTTGCTCACATTTGCTAAAAGCTTGTAATTGTCATAATTAATAGCTAGTTGTTTTTGCAAATATTTTTAATTAAATTCATGGAAATGAAGCAAATGACTAATGTAGTCTACGGTAACTAATGAAAATACCACAAAGCTAAAGAGGCATCATAAGGGATATTAATAATGATCTATGATGAAATCTTAGAAAATGAAACACTAATGAAATTACAAAGAAATCAATTGCACGATTATAAGATGCTTATATGAGAAGAGAATCTTTTTAAAAATAACTAAACAAAATCGTATAAATGGGTTTTTTTTGAATTGTGCAGATATAAACATGATTAGCTAAACAAAATTTTATATTTAAATTTTTAAAAGAATTTTTATTGCTAATAAATTTTCTTAAATATTGACATTACTTAATTCTCATGATAAGGTTTGTTCTAAGAATTTTTAAGTCAGCGTCAGTTTAATCATTCATCATAAGAATATCAAAAGATAATTTATCATACAATTACATTTTCAAATTGCTCGTTTGATTCATCAACTACATCAAATATGATTGGTTTATCTGTACTCTTAGGCATATGTGCAATTTTCATTAAAAATTCAAGTTTAGATGATCTCAGGCTTCATATATTTTTTTTCCATTTTAATTCTGATTCTTGATAAGTATGGATTCATGTTCATGAATGCTGTCCATTATAGATATAGATTTGGATCCAACAATAGTAGATATACACACTGATTGTAATTGCAAATCATATTCTATATCAATTATATCCTCAAAGGATTAATCATTAACTATCATTCCTTCACTTAAATTATACTCTACTATTGTGTTAGCCTATGTTCAATAGGCTTCAGATGAGAAGTTTTTAGGTTTTCCTTAGGAGACAAACATAAGCATAATGGCGCAAATAGTGAGTTATAACATGTGTCGATGTACAAAAATCTCGATAAAATTGAGAGTCCAAATATTTCGAAGGATTTGAGAAAATCAATCCAAGGAATTTTGAGGAAATAATCTTCATATTGAACACGAGTCATATAGATAAATTTTTTTTGCTTACTCATTTACATGAACCATTTTAATGCTTGTGTCACCAGTTCCTTATCTATTTTAAGTTGGAATATACTTTGCAAATGATAGGATATGATAAGTTTTGATTTTTGTTTGAACATACATAACATACATAAATACTGTGGGTGGTTACGTCAACAGCATAGTTAATGACATAAGCATAGAGGATCTTCTCCAAATATTTCAAAGGATTTGAGAGAATCAATCCAAGGAATTTTGATGAAGTAATCTTCACATCGAACACAAGAGTCATAGAGAAAATTTTTTTGCTTACTCATTTTCATGAACCATTTTATTACTCGTGCCTCCAGTTCCTTGTCTGTTTTAATTTGGAATGTACTTTGCAAATGATAGGATATGATAAGTTTTGATTTTTGTCACACACACACACACATGGTGCACTTGCAAGAGAGTTTGTGCTTATAGCTGTTTTGGTTGCTTTTATATGGCTTGCATGATTTGTATTGTTGATGTCACCTTTGCTGGTATCACCACCCTATATTTGCATCATATATGAACCCCTGGCATTCTAAGGTAATTTTTATAAAGAATAAATGTCATCCAATGCCATTGTGTATAAAAGGCTCTCCACTTATCATTTATGATAATGTGGTCTCAGATCGCATATATTAATTCTGAAAATACATTGCAGATCAACACCCGTCCTATCTCATCATGCTTCACACGTGGGTTTCAATATCAAGGTGGCGAACGTGGAATTTTAATCTGCTTTCCAGACACAGATTTGACCATGGCAAAAGAGCTCATGGAAGCCAAAGGCATCAAGCAGTTACCAGTTGTTAAACGCAGCAGAGATGCTAGAGATCATGGAAAACGCAAGCTTATTGGTCTTCTTAATTATGATGCAATTGAACGCTGTATAAGGTTCGTAGTACTTCAGCTACTTATGCTGGAATGTTACACCTTTTCTCTTTCTTATATCTGCCATAGAATTGCTTCATGACTTTATTATTATATAGGTACAGGCAGGGCCGGAACCCGTTTTAATTTTAAGAGTTGGCAAAATTATCAAATGCTAAATTTTATTAGGTATTGGGCAAAAAATCTATCAAGAGTAGGCAAAATTACCTGATTGACCAAGTGTTATAGAAAAAAACTATTAAATTTTCTATCATTTATAGAAAAATCTCAAAATATAAAGTGAGCAACTGCCCACTTTAGGATTAACGTAGTTCCACCAATGGTAACAGGACTGGGACTTACATGATCATTTATATTATTTGGGTCTGCATTATGACATTTGAGACCCCATGTTTATATATTTTTCTTTTGTTTAGTTTTGCTAAAAGGTATGTCATGTTGTGTTTGTGAATTATATCGGTGATTGAACTTTTTAATGCCTAGTACTCTCCTACTAAAAAGCAGTTTTTTATTGACAATAAACATGATGCATTTTTTCTTAGAAGTTTTTCTTTAATAATGTAGATTTTCAGGTTACATTATCATCCCTTTCCGTGAACGTCCTTCTCATATTACTTTTTTTTTAACATCTAAGTTTTTTTTTTTTCTTAAGAGATGTTAGAATTATTCGTTATTGTATAATATTATTATTATTATCACGTGTGCATAATGTTTATAGTAAGAATATATCGGCATAATTTATTGTCATTTTGAGGATGTTTTTATTTATATTGTTTTACTATGACTATTTTATGTTGCCTATATTATATGTGGGCCTTCGTATTAACGTATTATTTAATTTAATGAAGGACTGACAATTCTAGCTTTCTGGTAATTCTTTTCACATGTGCTGCAAAGAAAGACAAAGAGGAGCTACATCCATTATCATCATAGTAAGTTGGGCCTTATTATGCTGGTAGGGCTATTCGATTTCAAGTCGAGTCGAGGTAGGCTCAAATAAAATTCGATCTAAAATTTTGGCTCATAGCTCAACTCATTTATTTTGATCCAAGCCAAAATTCAAATCATTTTTCGAGCGATTAACAATCATCGAGCTAAATTTACTAAATTCACATCCCTAACATCTGTAGGGTTGTTAACAATCTAATTTTTAGCTTAGCTGGAGTTGGCTCTAAATTGGCTGAAAAAATTTGATTCAAAATTTTGGCACGTTATTCAAATAGTTTATTTTGATTCGTCTCGATCTAAGCCAAAATTCATTCAAATGAATTTTCAAGCGATTAATGATTTTTGAGCTTAATTCATAGCCATATATGCTGGTTTGGTCGAGTTTATGAAATGTCCATTCATTCCTCTCAAGTGCTAGATGAGTTGGCATGTCTCTTTTCATGCGACTTTATGCTATATTACTTTTGATCTTTGAAGAAAGGTGGAGAAAATCTTATTTTCTTATTTATCAATTAATCAAATTACAACTCTTCTCTATATATAATTAGGAAAGACTATGATAAACTTAATTATAATCATTACAACTTTCCGAAGATAAATAACTAAAGAAGGAAAGAAACATGGCATAATAAAAAAAGAATAAAAGAGAATAACTCTAAAATAGGAAACTCATAATTTCACAATTCTTTTCAAGCTTGGGCATATATGTTTTAAAGGCCCAAATTAGTGTTTAAAACCGTGAAGCTGTCTGAGGTGGAGATGTCATGTAAATATCAATGATTTGAAGATAAGTTGGAATGTAGATTAAGTGAATAATGTCTCTATGGACCTTTTTAGAGATAAAATGTTTATCAATCTTAATGTGCTTTATCCTGTTATGATGCACATGATTCTTTGTAATACTAATGACAACTTGGCTATCACAAAACATTTTTATGGGTTTGATGGTGGAGTATCCTAACTCATTCAGTAACATTTGGATTCACATTCCTTCACAAATTCTCGAAGCATCTGCCCAGCTGGAATTACACACTATTTCTAGAAACCACCGCTTGCTTTTTGCTCCCTCAGATGAGAAGATTTTACTAAGCATATGAACAATACCCAAAGTGGACCTTTAGTTCGCTGAGCTCTGCCCAACTAGCATTAGTGTAAACCTCTATCTCCTTGTTGTCTGATTTCTTAAACAATAACTCTCTCCTAGGGAGATTGAGGTTTACACTAATGCTAGTTGAGAGAAGTTCATGAAATAAACACATTTTGTTGTGGATTTTTGATACAAGAACTCACATGTATGATGCATTTCTTTGAAGGTATGATCCAAGGATAGAATTGAAATATTTTTTTGTATTATCAATTTTGAGGATTTGAATTTTGCACTAGAATGAATGAAAACAATATTATGGAATGACTTAAAGATTTGTGCAGTTTCAAATTTTTCATTCATGAGGAATATTCAACTTATTCTAGTATGGTCATCAATAAAGGAGATAAACCATTTAGCTCCATTAATTGTTTTTAATTTTTATAATCTTCAAATGTCGCCGTAGATGATAGAGAAAGGATGTGAGTGTTTGTACTAGGACATATAATAGTTATGACGAGCTTATTTAGCCAATTGACATGATTCACACTAATAAAACTCTTATTTTTTATTAATAAAGAGACGAAGGTACAATTTTGCAATATAATCAAAATTAAGATGGTCCAGATTTATTTGATCCTTTTTAGTTTTAACTGACATTAGCATTTTGTATTCCGACACACTTAGCATAATAATATCAGTGACTTCTTCCTTGTGTTACATTTTTTTTGAAGGATATTTTAATTGAAATTTTATGAATATATCTTTTTTACTTGTACTATTCTCTCTCTCTCTCTCTCTCTACAGATTATTATCTTTCAAAATGAGTAGAATTATTTATCTTCTTACATTATTCTTTATATTAAGAAAAATCTTAATCACTATGATTTAAGTGGCAATAGGGAAACTGTTAACTAGTTTTTTTTTTTTTTTACATTACCAGTTACTCTCTACTTAATTCTTGACCATCCAAATTTTGATGGTGTATGCAAAATGTAGGAGAATAAATTGATTTGTTCTTCTAAAATGATTATTAATATAACTGTCTCTCTGTAAGCTTGGAAGGAGCCCATTATGCAGTCTAATTCTCAAAAACATATGCTATTGGATTGGGCAATGATTTTTATTGACTTAGATCGGATCTGGTTGCTTTTTTTTATTCTCTTTTTGTCTTCACATTCAAAGTAGTGTCTTTTTTTATTTTAACCAGCGTTGAACTGCGGGACCAAGTTTGTGTTGAGAGACCTTTGCAGTTGTGGGACTCCTTTAGTGGGTCGGGTCTTTCTCGCAAGCTTCATCACATTCGAGGCCTCTATTTAGTAGCTCATCTTTTGATAACAATGAACTTTCCTTTGTACCGTTGGAATGTTGCTTTATATGCCAAATTGCTTTGTTGAAATGGCAAAAGCCAATTCTTCCACACCTAACCATTTTCCATATCTAGTGGGTTTGCCCGAACTTAATTGTAATCATTTTACTTTGCATGCAGAGATGAAATCCGGCATAGGAAGAACTACTATCAGCAAAGAGCTGAACACCTAGAAAGAACAATAAATGCCCATTGAATGTGACAGCCCTGAAGAATTTTGGAGCGGCCAACTAGCCAATCAGCCCTTCATTAACGGCTTTTGTTTCCAGTGGCATTAATTATATTTGCAATATTAATGCCTAGCTACAATGGGTATGGATTCTTATATTTTTCTTTTCCACAATGCAAATTGTATCATAGATGTTTCATTAACATCTTTAGGTCAATGAATTTCATTTAAACTCAAGCAAAAAACTCCTCTTCCTAGCGAAGGGTGGAGCTGTATTTCATGGGGCTTCAAGTCCTGATATTCTTTTGTGAAAGTTCTTAAGGAAATCTTGTATTCCTTTTGTTTTTATATATATGGTGCTCATGATCTAAAACATAGAAGCCGCTGATATTCTTTTCTGTAAGCTTTATTATGGTTACTCTCCCACTTTTGTGGTATAAATCCAATATTATCTGAAGCCTACTTCTTATTACAAGTTTGTTGATGATTTGCAGACCATACATTTATGCCATTTTACTTGGCTAGCAACTGGCATTGCTAACAAGCTTAATGAAATGTAAAAATTTGTCATTAGTATAATTTCACTTTGTGAAGTTCTCCCATTCATCAACGTGATGATTTTTTTTTTCCCCTTAAAAATAACTTCCTTCCCAACTATTTATAAAATATGGTAAATTTATCAGCAATAACTTGATGTTTACGTGGGATTATTCATAGATAAGGCCCAAGAGATAAATATGTTTAGAAACTGATAATATGCACTTGGAGCGTTGGGAATTGATGGCAGATCAGGCCCTAATATTGGGTTTTCTTTTGACACGGTAAGCTCTCCATCAACTCTTCTCTGCTGCTCTAAATATGGATGAAATGGAGTGAAGCTTCCATCCTCATCTGACTCTTTGGTCCTAAACCCCACCAATGCCAAGGTTGGCCATGACTTGGTGGCCAAGACCAATAGCATAGCCCCAATATCCAGCTACCACACGAAGTTGTGGCGCTCTGCAAGGCAATGCATAGGGCTCCAGCACAGTTTTTTTCGAGCCTCTTGAAGCTTTCTTGAACTTGCTCAGCTCTTTCGCGGAAGCTATTATGGGGATGTTGTGTCCTAGTTGCGGTGGATTTCAATGAAATAGAGCTTTGATGGTTTGTAATTTTTGCGGCGGGTACGTCGTGTTTGTGCTTTCCTTCATATGTGGTGATGACAAATTTAAGATTGTGTGAAGCTCTTTACACGTGCTTGCGTGCCGTGCAACCTGGATTCGTGCACTTACAGTAGCTACTGCATTGCAAAACAAGATTGATGTCATATAAACATTTTAATTGATAGATATGTAAATATATAAGAAATCAATGAAGTGTGTAAACCTCTATTCAAATTAATATAATAAGCATGTTTTACTCGAACAGCTCTAACACCTTGGATTTGGATTCCCTTTTACGACCAGTCATCTGAATCACAACCAGAGAATCTCACGTGGCTCTTGAAGCAGCATTCACGCCAACAGAGCACAAATCTAGTTTCCTGGAGGCAAAACAAATCAAAAAATTAGTATGTTTTTGTTTTAATGACGTGGAAATATCATATTTGCTTTACAATTTTTATCTTCAAAATAAATTGCCTTTTTTTTTTTGAATCTAACTCCTGCCCTTCAGCATCACATCCCATTGAGAAATGACCATGAGTTGCTCCATCTTCCTGTTCATCATTAGACTTTGCTGATGACAAATTCATGGCCTGTGTGGCACTATATCGAGCGCGCTTTGTGTCTGCATCGAGTTAGAAGTTGAAGAGCCAACAACTTCCTTGCCATCCCCTCTACACTTTGATCCCCCATTTCCTTCAAGCTGCCTGCGGTTTGAAGGAGTCTTGGGGTGATTGTAAGCACCCCTGTAGATTATTTTGATAACATGACCCTCAAGTGATCCTTCGACCTTCTACTTCGCCCGAGAACTTCAGAAACTTCACTTATCATAACTGTGAGGGAACTCACTGACCTTGACATGTTTCTGCTCGTATTTCCTCCAGTTATATCCATCCTCCTCTAGATCTCCAATAGCCATGGATGAGGACTCTTCTTTTGGATCTGTTCCTCCATTCTAATGTTCATCAGGTGGAGAACATTTGTTTGCCAAGAAGGAATCAGCTTTCATATCGTCAGCACGCTCTCTTTTTGCAGATGCCTCTGTGAATTCAGCTGGTTGCTTCAGATCTTATTGAAGAGATGCGTCCATGTTTACTAAGGATTGTTTTGGATCCATGGATGAAGCAAACTGAAAACAACAAGGCAATGTACAAGACACCAAATATGTATCGTATTGTATGCTCAACCAAATCAGATAGAAACAACAAAAATAACACAATAAATTAAGAGGACCACAGCATATCTTGAATCTAAAACTTTATAAAAACACTAAGTCCAGCTTGACTGAGAAAAATCAGATGCATCTTCTCCATCAATTCATAATACTCAATGTTCATCTGAAGTATTCACCCAAATTCTTGGTGAATTTTTAATAAATTAATAATCATTAAGGACATTATTACCATGGAATTTGAAAAGAAAGACTGGAGATTCAAAAAATGTCGTAGGATTGACACCTGGAGATAGCACTAAACGTGAAAAACTCTTTGTCTAAAGGTGAAGATATCAGGTTGTGTGTTCCATTTCTGCCTAGTATTGACCGTTAATGTACCAAAACCAACCCTAGCTAGCATCCTTTCATTTAAAGCGACTCTTGAGCTTGATTTGAGAATATTAAATTCGATTGGTTTCAAGAAGCATATTTGATAGCTTGGTTTCAAGAAGATTTTTTCTATTCTTCCTTCTAATCCAATGATGTTTTCTCACTCTCAGACATTTGTCCGCATCTATTTTGTCCGTACATAATTTTTTTTTTCATTCTATCAAATATGACGTGCGGAATCCACATATACAGATTAGTGGTATTTGATGATATTTTGTGGTTTTGTGGTGGTAATACCACCAAATTCGCACTTATCCACGTCTATCATGTCCAAACTTAATATTTTTTTCCATTTCCAAACATGGTAGGACCTATATGTTTGCTTTCTCTAAGATCAAGAAATGATCTTGAGCATGTATCACCATTGAAATAATTTGAGAAAAATGTTCTTGGGTTGGGGTTAACGGTAGCTCAATCTCCAAAATTGAAGAACCTGACATCTTTCTCAGCTATCACTCGCATTGATGGGTGACAAAATTCTCAAAACTACAGTCTCATGTCATGATTTTTCAACAAATTTTACGTTGGTTGTCGACTATATAACGCAACCCTCCACTTTTCACATCCGAAACTTGGGACCCAACAATGACAATGTTAATTAAGAAATTATAGTCTCATGTCATGATTCTCAAAACTACAGTCTCATGTCATGAGTTTTCAACAAATTTTACGCTGACTATCGACTATCTAACGCAACCCCCCACTCTTCACATCCGAAACTTGGGACCCAACAATGACAATGTTAATTAAGAAACTATAGTCTCAAAACTACAGTCTAATCAAGAAAAAAAAAATTGAGCTCAAAATTACCATGGATGCTCTATTCTGAGCTCTCGAACTTTTATAAGTTTGAAACAAAAACGTTAAAAAAAGAAAAGAAAAAAAAAGAGGAGTTAACAATGTTGCAGGGTTGAGTGAGACTGCAAATCCGACATATTACATCTTGAAATATACTTTTTCCTGCATGATAATATATTATGTATGTAGAAATTGAAATGTAGATGTTTGATATATAAATACATAAGAATTGAATGACCTCTATGCAAATCTTCAATTTGTATTTTTCTCCTTCCATTTTATTTTTTTCCAATCAATATATTAGTGTACTTTCTCGAGGCAACACATTTAAGTTTTGATTTTTTTCCCTTTCATGTTGAGTTACATACTTATATCTAAATTTTTGGAATGTGAGACAACATAATATCTTAAATTTTTGAAGTTTTTTTAATGAGAAGGCATTAGACTATTTCAAAGATCATGTGTTTTACTGAATAAAAAACAAGAATAAACAATTAAAAAGAAATCTGACTTGGCAAGCTTAATTTTAATTATTTTATTCTAGATAATATTTGCTGAACAATTTTATCCTTTGGTTCATGCCCAAGAGATAGGGCACGAGAAGGAGGAAGAAAGGTAATGATAATTGAAAGAGAGGGTTGTCATTTGGTTCCTGGGCTTTTTGGCCTTTTTTTTTATTCCACACAACTAGTTGGTTACAAAAGAAGGGAAGGGGAGAGAGATCTCCCTACTACATTCGGGTTGTAAGGAATGTCTAGGAGTGAACCTAGGGGGGAGTCCCCCTTTTTCATGTTATAGGTTCTCATATTTATAGAAAACAAAGAGGGGGAAACATTACAATATATGCTTATTTTTTGCTTTCTTTGTTTTGAGCCGTCAGATTGCTTTAAGATGTGTGTTGACTCTTTAGTATATCTGTCCTATAGAAGTTGGAGTTCTGACTCTGCACGTGTCTTATTTTAGAATAGTATTATCTATCATATTATTTATACATATTTTTCATAAAAGATAATATAATATAATATATTATATGTATATTGCCTGATGAAGGCTGACTGATAAAGTTGAGTGGCATGCAGGTATACTCTCTTTAAAATGGTGACTGTCACCGTAGCCGACCGACGAATGCCATCGGGGAGTTTATAGGTGAAAAAACTTCTCGTCGAGGTTGAGACACTAGTTCCTGGTCCAATTGCAGAGGCTAGTTGGTGGATGACCAGCCGAAAGTTGCTTATCGGAGTGGAAATGACTATCCGACCGACGGTCAATTTGAAGTGAAGTGGTCGATTGAATGAGGCCGGCTAATTGAGGGGATGGGCGGCTAAATGAAGCCTGAGGTCTTGCCGACCAACTGAAGGAATGGCCAACCGACTGAGGGTCGACTGAGAGTTGCATGTCGGAGGAAATTTGGAAGTCCTGCGTCTTGAAGTGAGGAGGTTGATCGAAGGCCTGACTGGTTGATTGATGGGATGGCCGGCCGAATGAGGTCGAAGAAGGTTTGGCTAGTTGATGCTTGGGTGGCTGAACGACTGCTGGGCGATTGAAGCGAGATGCAAAAGTATCTTTGCTTGCTCGATTCTTGTTTTGGTTAGGCGAGGAAAGTATAATTTTTGTGGCCATACATAAACCCCCGAGTTCCTTACTTCTTAGAGGCAAAATTGTGATAAGATAAATAACTCATAAATACATAAAATATTATTTTATAAGCTTCTAACTGGACTAAGTTCTTAATATTCCTTTGATGAGTGGATGTTTTAGAAGTTTATCGGTAGAATTTTTAGATCTTTTAGATATGATATTTGGCGTATCGATCTTTGAGAAGATCATTTG